ATTTTAGTTTTAGTGATATTAAAAAAGCTCCTTCCAACTACCGTTATACAGCGGACTTACCAACAGACTGCTTGTTTCTTTTACTAGTCTCTGTTCATTCAAACCTTTAATATTTGCAGAGTTATCTGCTTTGAAGTATAAACTATTGCCGTTTTGGTTGAAATGGGGTTGGTATTGACTTGTTTAAATAGTACAAAATAAAATGCATTGGCCACTGTAGTGTGTTTGACTTGGTGAGACGAGTAAATATTTGGGTAGGCTGGTATCTAGTGTAAGAAATAGACAAGGGCTGAAGGCTCCAGCCAGCTCACATTTTTAAACTCGAAAAAACAGACGAAAAGAATGAAAAATAAAATATAAAAAAAATACCAGGTTGAAGAATATTAGTTGCTTCTTCAAATTTCGCCAAAGCCCTACCTACATTTGACCGATATCTGCAGAATAAATCAAAAAAACTCCACAAATTTACTCCATTTAGGAATTCCTAACAGTTTGCCCGTAGTAAAAAGTAAAGTCGAGGAACATTTTCATTGACTTGGCAACGCTGAATGTATCACGTACATTTCAGCCGGGTTTTTTGGAAAACTGGGGTTTAGTAAAGGAAGGTAAAATGTGTTCTCATATTGGACATGATCCGGGAGTCGGTCTGTCATGTGACGCTTGTGTAAACTCGGACTAATACTATGCTATATTAGTTTGAGGTGTAAAGAAATGACTAGCTAGTATATTCACGGTTACTAGTAACAGTGGTATATTCAAATGTTTCTCTATATCCTGTCTTTCAAACATATGGTGAATGACGTTTTTGAATGAGATAACAGGCTGAGAACTCTTTGATTCAAAAATATGGAATTCTTTATTCAAAAATCACAACACCCTTTCCGCTACCTTAATGACGGAAATACGGGGGGGGGTGATTTGATTAGCTGTGCTGCCCTTTTGAAGTGAATGGTGTTACGTCAGTCATTCGTGACACCACTGAAAATGTTTACAAACATTTTTGAGTTTAGTGAATTCTTTGGGAAAAAGTCAGTTTCACTTGTGCCGCATAACATAAGTCTGTGGCTTAAATACTTTAATTCTGCATCAGAAAATGTAGCCTGACGAGGTTGCGTGAGTTGCGCCCTCCGCAGTGCTCCAAACCCAACACAGGTCTGGTGCCGTTCGGCAGGCGAGGGCGCTACTCACGCCAACATGTCAGGCTACAGAGAATGTAAATGATTTTAAAATGTCATTATCAGACTCGTGGAATAATTACGATACACACATGCGTTAAAACAGTCTCTCTGCGATTTAGTTTATGGCAGTGACAATTGGGGACATGAAAGTAGTTATAAATCAGCCGTGGAAGAGGTCCATCTCAGCTACTTCCGGTTTATTCTTGGTGTGTCCAGAAATACCTCCATAATGGGAATTTACGGTGATCTCGGTAGATACCAAGTTGATGTTTTTATTTTTTTTTAAATGGTTAAATATTATAA